TATCGTCAACGCTTAAGATCTCGAGCAGTTACGAGATCTTAAGCGAATCCTCGGTCGCAGAAGAAAATTTGTCTGCACAGTCTGCCTTCTACATGGCAGTGCAATCCACGCCCTCTAGAAAATTTCGAGTCGAACCTCATGCAATAGAGCTGGATGGCTCTTCCTCGACCGCTGTCATGCAATAGAGCTGGATGGCTCTTCCTCCGCACCTGTAGTCCATTGACATTGCTCCTTCCAGCTGATAGTGCATTCCTCACTCGTTATATGAACGAGAAAAACTTTGCGACCTGAGCCCAGGTCAAAATCGAGATGATGCCCAACCTTGCTTCTGCAGCCCTGTACTGCAAAGCGAGGCATCATTAGGTGATCGAAAACTGGCAAGAATCCCGCAATAACGACGCTGCATAATATTGATTTCATACACTATGGAAATAAATTCTCTCTAAAAATGTGACAGAGCTTTCCCGCCAACCTAATAGTTCCGTATTCTTTTAGTGTGGCTTCCTTGGACAGTGTACTGCTGTGCGCATGCAATATAGATGTACCCTCTCGCCGCTCGGAAATGCGTAATTAGAACGCTTAGCCCGAGCGACGAGGGCGAAGCGTCGCCTACAACAAAAGGCTACGATAAAAGTTCATTTCTCATGGGCTCGAAGTGAGCGGTAGCTTTGCTGCTAGCTCTTCCTGTTCCGAATGGTGAGAATGAAGAATGAAGGCGAAAGGAAAAGAGCCGATCTTGTTTCATTATCAACAAGAGAGAACTCGCCTAAACACGCTCTCTCTTTGCTTTGTGCTGGTGCAAGCTGAAATCGACATGAGATCTTATCTAGAACATTTTCGAACTAAGATTCCCACTCTTCTTCTTCCTTGAAATCACCACCGTCTTCATCAGTATTTATTTGAGCCTCATTCCTAGCATTTCTGGTTGCAGTACGTGTTCAGCAGTACATGTGTCATCAAGCGCGCTATGGATTTCACACACAAACACGAACACGAAGGCGCGCACGCACGCTCATACATATTTGCACGGGAAAATTCTGAAAATGACTCAATCATTACCGAACTATACTGTCGGCGAATGAATCGTGTAAGTGAAGAGTTCGACGCAAAGAACGTAGGCGGAGACTGTTCAATGAAAAATCAGCTGTGATCAGTCGCAGCGACCACACAGACCACCATGCCTTTGTCTGTAGTCTGTCCGATCAGACTATTTGCTCTTCCTCAGCTCGTATATATGCGCTCGAGAGGGAGTTTATAAGGGGCACTTGCGACAAGTTTTTTTTCCCCAACCACTGACTTTCTCGAGGCCTTGGCATTGTTATTTGAGCACAACTACCCAGGAAATCTGATCGAGGGCTTTGCCTTTACCAAGAATGCAGAAGTATCTCGCTGAAGTGCAAAGGTGCCCTTCCCAAGTCGAACAGAACACCACTGTCTTGGTTGAACACCCACTGGAACAGTTCTGTGCTAAAGAGTATTATTCAAAAATATATTTGACAGTCATTTTCGAGTGTCTTATAACTGTGCCTTATTATCGCTCGGCGTTCATTTTCTAGAATGAAGCCATGACTGGCGTCACAACCCAAGTCTACGCCATATCCCGCATTACTCTCGCCCTTTTTGAGGACTCCGGATGGTACCGAGTGGACTACGAGTGAGTTAGCCCTTTATTTTCAGAGGACCATTCAAAATCACCATCAAGAAGACACTATTGCCTAGACATAAGGACAGCGCTCGTGATGCTCCATTTACAACTTTCACTGAGAAATATTAGATCATATGGTGAATGGGATAATAGTGAAGAATCGAGCTAGTTAGAAGTAGAGAAAACAAAATATTGGAAACGAAAAACACCCCAAAGCACAGATGATCCGTTTCGCTTGTACTTCTAGACGAATCATCATTGTTTCGCCAACCCCCAAGCTCTTCAGTAAGGAGGGTTGACGAAACAAGGACAAGGACTACACAGAGGAAGGAATTGAGAAAAAGAAAATAAACCGTCGGGCAGAAAATACAAGAGGACCGTGGTATTACTAGAGAATATGGGAGTGGTCGAAACCTCAGTGCAGCCGAGTTTATTAACGGAGAAGGAGCCAGGGTCTAGCTCACGGAGGCGGGACGGTTATCATCGCTAAATAGTGGCGCTTGGGAAATGCTCTGCGACTGCGGGTTGCTTGCACCACTTTGTGCAGTGAAGGGTTTTCACGTAAGGTGATCGCGAGCGCTACCTTGAAAAGTATGGAGCATGCTTATTTAGATACAAGTACAGCATCCTGATGTGTGAAATAGTGATGTCAGTGCGACCTCCGAAAGGAGGGACCGGTATGACCCCCCCCACCCCACTTCCTCAATACATACCTACCACTTTCCTGCAACAGGCAACAGTTCCTAGCTCTCCACCAGTTGTTCCGAAATTTCCTAGATTTTCCAGTTTTTCCACCCAAAGATTTTCCATCGAGCGGGAGGGGGGGGGAGTGGTAAAGGGAGATATAGCCAATATTGAACGGGAAAAAACGCGGAAACTCAACAACCAGGAAAGATTTTTCCCCAACGTAGCAGGTTTCTCTCAAAGGTACATGCGACTCTTCTTCTCTCAGCAAGGGCCAAATAAGACCTTCCTGCCCAGCGGCCGAGTAAGACGCTCGCCCCATGTTTTCACAAAGAGATGCTGTATCTTCTTTCGATAGGGTTTGAAATGACAACAGAAAAATTGAACAATGCGAAACGACACCCTTATCCTGCCCGCTGTCTTCGTGCGGTGGACGGGTTGCTTGCTATGGTGCCATCATCCGTTTTCGTGGATTAACGTAGTACCTCCTCCTTTGCACTGAGGCGTGGCTGCATAATTGTACTACAGGTCAAGGGCTGGAGGCGTCTTGGAGAAGAAGCTCAAGGTTGTGGCAGATAGCAAAGGTGGTGCTTTTACAAGCTGTTTCGATCGGCCAGTAAACGTCTACACCGGCCACGGTCGTGGACTCGTTTCTTTTCCTGCGCTCCCCTGTTACATATCGTTCCCACTACTTCGTATTATGGTGCCTCCCTCCGTGCTCTCTACATGATTTGATTTACGGTGCGTAATTGCTGACAATCGATAACGTTTGAGATAAATACACGGTCAGTGGAGTGACAGTCCAACAAATTCAGTAAGTAAAATCGATGGAAATGTCAACGAAAAGCTTTATTCATGAGCTCAGACTGTGAATTTCGTCAGACACGCTAACTTGTTCATTCAGCAACGCGGAGAACATGACGTGGGGAAAAGGACTCGGATGTGATTTCGTTAAAAAGAGCTGCCTAACATGGATGAGGAGTCCTAGTGGACCGTACCCGTTCTGCGTGCAGGAAGGCGACATGACGTAGTTTCGTTGGCGTGCTTCAAAAATTAGGCGGTCTTTTAGACCCTTACACCGGTACTCTTCCCAGTAGTTAGTTTAACATGTGCGGCGAGAAGAGGGAAAGAATACAAGATAGTCTGTACACGTGCTGTATTTACGGACAAATAGCGGTTATGACTATTTCCGGGTCTCGCCTGCAGTAAGCAGTGGATAAACAGAGTATGCGCTATAGAGGGTAGCAGCAACTTAATAGGTTTTAGCAGATTAGGGGTGCAGACTCTTGTGGAAGTGTGTGGTCGCAATAAGGTACAAACACGGACCCTCCTATTGCGTCATACTGTCCTCTCCCGGACGCTGGTTGACGGTGGAGGACACTGGCAGGCGCTATATCCAATATCTATACCTTCCTAGTTGTTGACGCTGCCGAACGCTCGGAACGCTGGACGTTACCGCAAAGTATGAACGCAGCCGAATCAATGCACCGCTATGACTGCGGATCCTATCACACTCAGAATAGAGCCTTCATCCCTTGTGCCTCATTCCAGCAATTGCCGATGTAATGCGGGCAGTCGCGCGGTTGAATCGCACGAGTGGCGAAGTATGAAGGCAGCCTGGTGTGGTAGGCAGATTGGCAGAGAGGGCATTTCAGAGAGAACTACTGGAAGAAGGGTTTTGGTGGACCGTACCGACACCGCCATTTTGTCCACGGCGATAATGCACCCTGGCTACTGCTATATGTATTTCAGATGCAATGCGAATCGCAAATCAAAAGTGTACTGCAATTTCGTCAAGGATATGACAATGCCACCCATGTACGATTACAGCGTGCCAGGACTTTACAAGGACAGAAGAGGCAAGAACACTCGAGGCGGTGGTAATGAAATGACGGCTGACTTCTGCCCATATTACAGGGTGAGGCTCCTGAAAATTCACATCCATCATCCATACAACCACAAACAAGCACATTTCTTGTAGACCTAAGGAAGGGTCTGAGTTTTGAAAAGTTGTCCATGAAGCGTGGAAAAAACTCAATAAGTTCACAAAGGGCCCTACGATCTTATTTGAGCGTAGAGTTGTACAAAGTAACCTGAAATTTTGAGAAGTTGAGATTGTTAAATGCGTGCCCTTCACTTTGCTTTTGAGCCTGTGTGTGATTTTATCTACTATTTTGTAAGCTAGTCACACGTCACATCTGGCAATCTAGCTACCGACTTTATGAGTACTACCTACTATTACTTATGGTTAAGCCTTAGCGTTGACCACATATTCGATTTTGCTCATTTTTAGGTATTCGGTGAGATTTCCGTCGAACCAAGTGATACTCGATGTACTTATCCTGGCAATATGCACTACAACAATTATTCGTTGGAAGTATGTTCTTTCATAGCATCTGCGAAATTTATAATGATTCCGTTAAATTGACAGGTAAAATTTGTCCCATGGGAAGAGAGAGTGGGAAGGGGATGGAAGCGAAAGATTTTTTAACTGCACGCATATTTCATGCAGCATCTGGCTTGAATGAATCGGAACGATCGTCCTTCCACTAGCTGTAGAGGTCTTTCCGGCGCATCATGATCAAGACAAGTAAAGCTCGCATCTCAAAAGTTTGATAATGGCTTTGGTTCTAAAAATTACGATCAAAGAGAAAACATGCCGTTTTCCACGTTTTGAGCTGGGCTTTCCTTGTTCACGAATTTGATCTTCTTAGACGCCGATATGTTTCTCTTCAGATCTTCTCACGAACTGCTCGCTGTTTCGCACTTCAGGACAAAATCAAAGTCAGAAAGAAGATCTTGATAACGACTTATTCGCAGTATGCTGGCTGCTACGAGGTAATTTCACACTATTTCTTTACTTATCACCATGAAGAGCTGCGCACAGGCACTGTGCAGGTATTACTATATAGTCGAGCGCATGGACGGCAAAAGGATGCTCGGTCCCGCGTCTTTGGGTCTTCTGTTCAACATTTATCCAAACATACGAACACTAACCTTAGCAGTGGCTTATCCCGCAAACAGGGTACAGAATCGTTGTGTGAAACCATTGGGAGGGGAAGAGTCGTACGTGGCCGCTGGTGAGGTGGGTCGTAGCTTTATCGGCGAGGACTAAACAACGCAAAGGTGTCATCGGTAATTTGATGGAGCAGATGCAGTGCTGCAGAGGACACGGTTGTGTGGAACAAAATCCTACTATATAGAATCCACGATCTGCTCTGTGTGTCTATCTGACTTTTGTTGCCTGTCAGCCTGTCTGTCTGTCTGTCTGTCTGTCTCTCACGAAATTCATAGCGACAGTAGCTGTGGGAAGTTGATTCCAAGAAGTGATATAGGAGCTGTGACGAGACCACTATGAATGCATTATACGCATTCAATGATGTCGAGAGTCAAAAACTTGAACCATTCAGCAGTTTTTTTTATTTTTTTTACTTTTGAACTTTCAATTACTGATGAGAACGAATAATAAAGGGAGTATGAAAAAATGAACATAACCAAGCATTATTACCTGCAATCATTACGACTTAGAAGAGTGGTCGCTTGGTAATGAAAAAGGTAAGTGCTCGTCGGTAGGCATTTCAGTGCAGGTAACTGAAACGGATTCGTTCATCCACCGAGCGATTCATACTGAGCTTTATTGCTCAACTGCGCTTTCCATATATATCTACTGATCTATGTATGGTATGGGCGTCATGGCAAAACCACCAACCTTCCTTCAAATATAAGCGTGGACTCAGGAGTGCAGAATCCGCTGGGTTACTCTATCCATTACGATTCTCTCAACATAGCACAATATGCTGCTCAATGAATGAACGAATAGATTCCGTTTCCATTTTGAAGTGCGCCTGGCGAAGCTAAACCAGGGCCAGCAAAGCCGGGCTGAAGAGAAGGAGGAGAGCTCAGCGTGAGCCGGGCGATACTACTGGTATTAAAATAATTAATTAGCCATATCAATAGTTGGCATGAATCGTCAGTACGTAGGCGACTGAATAATACATCTCGAACAGATTCATTCTACTATCTTTCATAACTCTAAACAAACTTCTGCTTGCATACACGAAAACCACCTAATGTCAGAAGTTACACCTTTCCACTATCTCTACGTAGCGTAATGCACGGCGCACGCTCAGACCAAATCGGTCGATGATAAGCAAGCTCTACTTCCACTCATTCCAACGAGAACTGTGTTTGGAGGTACCTTAAAGGTTTGGAATAAGTTTCTATCCCTATCAATAGCCCAATCGAAAGCCTTTCAGACTATGACATCTTCTGGGAAATCGCTTTTCTGAAAAAGGCACTACTGCGCTTCGTGATGGTGTTTTGTATCCGCAAAGGGTCGCGTGTGTAGGGAGTTATTGTCGTCTGAAACACAAAAACTCGCGTGTGATACGCCATCAATCCATCCAGAACACATCCAATATACTTCTAAACAGGCAGAGATTCAGGTAACGGGTAGTCAGAAAATGCAGCCGTAGAAACATTGCTTCAACACGCTTCCTTTCGTTTCTCAAAAGCCCCACACTCAAAAAAGCTATCACCCCCAGCAAACGCCCAGCGATTTCCGCTATGCCAACATGTGTGCCGCAGCGCCACTTTGCTCTGGCTCAACGCAGCCGCGAGCTCTTGCAAATCGTCGCATTTAATCCTTATCGTCACAGCAAACAAGTGAACGAGAGAGGATCGCCCTAGGATCCCTTTTCGGAAGGGGGAGGGGGCAGGAGTCGTCTTTCAATCAGGATGGTGTACCTGCCAGAGCTTCGAGTGGCTAGAATATGCATCAAAAAACCTCTACATTACTTTCACCATTCTTCATTTACACTTCAGTAGACGAGAATGAAGCTGTGGTCGCTCCTGGAACGTTGCCAGGAACACCTTGTGGTCGGACTGACTGTGTTGAGGTCACCCTTACAAAACATCAGTTTTTTTTTGTTCAAAAGTTTCACTCCCTATCGGTATTTTCAAACATCCTGTACCTCAAGCAACCAAGCTTCTTGTGCGCACAAAGTATAAATTTCATTTCTTTTGGATGTTTATTTCAATTTCAATTTCAGCATTTATGTAAGGATGGTCGCCTGTACATCAAAGTACAGAACTCCAAATTTTATCCATGCTATTTCCCAGGCCAATATATTCACATAGAAAAGGTATGGTTATACAAGAATCAGATCATACGAAAGAAAAAATCTCAAGTTACCTCAGCTTAACCTCACCAACCAATTTGCGACTGACCAGTGTTTCCTGTACCCATAGAACTTCGGTCGCACTCCTAGACTGCCGATTCAATGTCTAGTTGCATCACTTTCCTAATCCTCAGATCTGTGAACTCTTGTGGAAGTGCGAAAAAGATTCTCCCAACGGGTTTAGTGGTACATCTGAACTATTGTGAACGTACGATATGGTGAGCTGGTCCTAACAACATGGCTTGCGCGAGCTTCTCTAAGTAATTACTGTAGCTTCACAAAAAGAAGACAGCACAAAATTGAAATTACTAAACTCATCAAATGATGATATATCAGGATACAGGGGGTCTGTATTTTCCCTAAATAGTTTCACTACCATAGTAAATAAGCTATGAATAAAGAAACGAAAGTGATTCAATTGATGAGGAGTGGCCAGTTTAGTCAGAATGTTACCGGAAAAACGATCTCAGATGAAAATACTAATACTGCTTAACAATGATTGTTGAGCAGTATTTCGCAACCACTGCCTTTACACCTGTAGCGGCCCCGCTACTATCAAACCTGGTAGATTACGCAAGAGCATAAATGAATCGTCGCGGCCGTCGGTTGCGAAGGGCACGAGAATGCTGCGCAAATACTTTATCCACATTTTCTGGAATACACGCCTTCCAACACGCCGATATTTTCAAAAAGGATTTGAAAAAACGATACACGGCGAAGCAAGTATTAAATGTCGGTGGCTCTTCATCACACTAGGTAAAAAAACCTTCACAGTCAAAATGGAAGTTCTTCTAGCACCAGCAGATACCAAATAAGATGAGGAAATTGAAGGCGAAACCTACAGAATGACTTGTTGTTGTCAGCGAAATTTGAAAAGGAACGTTCAGATGGCCAGCGTACAGCGCAGTAGAAAGCCAACAAAGTGACGAATCGCTAAACAAGATCCTGTAGACCTAAATGTAGTGCCACTCTTCAAAAAAATAATGAAATGGTATAGTAATGAGTGATACGACGTCAAATGGCTTTTACCTTCTAAAATGGCTATTCACAGCACGTGTCTCTTTTTTATACAAGGCATTCGAGGAGACGCGTTGCTCTACATTCTGCGCAGGTAACCGAGATCGAAGTCGAAAGAGGGTTGATACCTGATGGAATGACGTATTCACAGGCACTTAAGAATGGTCGTTTCCGATGGGCAGCCGCATACAACTTCACCCATTGATGGTCATCACTCATGACAGCGCCGCGAAAGTGAGGCAGCCCATGGACCGCGGGCACACCTCCCTGCAGGACAAGACACCATGATTTGTTTGAGCGCGGGATCTGCCCTTAACGTTTCTGATCGCATCGGTGGGGGCAGACTCTTAGGGTAGGTGAAGTATATGTATTCTGATCAGTCCTCCGGTCATCTGCATATTGGACACAAGAGTTTTTCGTCTCATGAGGTAACAAAAGCTGTTGTGCCCCATAACCATGTTCTTCGCGTGGCCAGACAAACATGCAGAATATTGATCAATTCATTTTTCCTTGACTAGTAGTATTGGTTCAGAGTTAACTCCATACATACTTATCTGATTGATTGATTCTTTTACATTTTAGAAGGTGTTCCACGTTGGCACAGTGAAAACAAAAATCGTCTGTCCTCCTTGCCTTCAGTTGTGCACCCACTGCGTACCTTCTAAGCATACTAATGAAAAAATCGGAGACTACCCAAAACTTTCTAGGACGTTCGCGGTGCTGATGTCCGTTATGGTTATGATCGTGTTTTTCCAATAGGGATCAGATGTTGGCTATAGTTATTGGCTCAGTAACGACATGTGTTTCTTTTGCGCCTTCGTACCGTTCCATTAACGTATGAATATGAGAATGCATGCTTTTCATATACGCTCAGTGTCGACAATTACTTCCAAGTGAACACATTAGTGACGTTGTGAAAGTATCGGGAGATGACGGTACGTCACGCTGATAACTTATAGCCCGACTGGTTCCACGTAAAATTCTTTGTTATAGCGTCACAATTCTCAGCTTATTATTTGTATTATTTTCATGAATAAAATTGTGAGAATTATGAAACCAGTGAGCCTCCTGAAGGCACACATTCCTCGTTGTGTAGCTGGAACAATACTTATTAGATTAGGTGTAACTCTTCGTAAGTCTAAAGGTTGTGTCAAGTTTGCATTCGCAAGTGCATCGCCAAGTCACTTACATTACATCTCATGCTCACTGGACTTTCCACAGTGGCGAGAGTTTTACCTATTCAACTGTTTACTGATTTGTGGACGCAGTGTGTCTGCGCTTGAATTATAGGACAACTGAGTAGAACGCCATATACAATTATTAAGTGAAGGTGAATAAATTAATAAGCAAATGAAACATATTTATAAGCACGAACATAAAATAGATCGATTCAAGTCAGTCGTCGCGCCAAAGAGGAAAATCAGGAGATCTGCTTTAACTAATCTAGGTGGCATTTATACGAAACGCTCCAAGTGACAGTCGGAAAGAAATGCCTGCCAAAAATTTCGTTTAATAAACAGCGCTCTGGCGCAAAGAATATGGACCCTGACTTGGGTTTTCGAAGGAGATCTTGATAGCGCTCTTCTAGTCTTCGAGGTAATTAGAGTGAAGGTCATCCGACTCGACCATTACTCTACCCGTTGAGATCTTAAAAACCACCATGAGACATCTTCTAACGAAAGATTTGTAGGTAAACCGTAGAGATTCCGTCTTCCGACTGCACGTTGTGGGGAGACATAGCTCAGCCCTGAACAGCATAGGACTACTTTACGAGTGAAATCATTCAGAAATTTTCAAAAAAAATTTATTGCAAAAGCTCAGTATTCTTTTTCTTATACGGCAAGAACACTGAAGTACCACGTTCCACTACAGGTCTAAAATATGTTTTATAGGGCTCCAGTGACCATTGTGATTTTTTGACTACAAAGCTTCGAAGCAGTCTGTTGTTAGCATTAGAAACCAGAGACTCATAATGCGCCTCGAATACAAGTTTGTTGAAAAAACTGAACCAAATTCTTGATCGCTTGAAGTGCTACCGATGCTACTTGTCCAAGTCAGTGGCTACAATTGATACGCTCGTTTCCGATTCTATCGGAACATCGGTTCTACCGGAGGCGGGCGTCATCCCCACTTTTCTCACCAATGCCGATTATCGCTTCTCGCACTCCAATGCAACATCTTCTCTTCGTCTGAAAGCCTTCGTCATTGTATTCACAGGTGGGAACGTTAAGTAAGATCAACTTCGTCACGTTCGTTTCGGCAATAGCTGGTTTACTTATACATGGCAGCTGATGAATAGACGCCCTGTGGCTCGCGCGAAAATTCCCCCCTTTCCAAGGGGCGTGACATGCTTCAATAGTCCCGTGTAATTAAATTTTGCTGGAAACCTCCAAAGTATTCGCGCCAGGCTATGACACAGCACATTAAACTCGAGACGGCTGAATCGACAAAACGCCACAAGTAGTCCAACTGCAAGTAGATCCAAACATTGATGTTTTCTCAACGAGCTACCAAAATGGTGATTTTCTCACCTTTCAGCTTCCCTTTTCAGCGCCTCATATGGAAATATCGAAGTGGATTCAATCCCGGGCTGCCTGAAGGACATTGCCTTTGTTGTTAACAATTTGACACTGCAACCGAGTCGCTATTGCCGATGTTCCCTTATTCGCACTATCTCAATAGAAAAATTAACTGAGGTTGGGCTACCTTAGGTGGATATTACGATGGGTTCTTTCCGAAACGGTTTCACCGCAACGATTTCTCTTTCAGTTTTGCTAGCGCGCACTACTCGCATGGTGAAGCTTATGGATTTAACTATTGGTAGGACGTCTGCACCCACTTTCACCTATACCAAACCCCTGGCTCAACTGCCGTTACGGAATGTCACATATCTATCCCTAGTTCCCTTACTAATGAGCAATTAGTGACGCCACTCACTATATCACCACCCATCAAAAATCAACAGTGTCCCACTGAACCACATTGATAGCTAGTTCCACCTCCCATGTTGCTGCTACGACAGGCGTACAATCGACTCTGAATGGCTTTTTATCATTCCCCCCCCCTTATGAAATTTCATCAGTTGTTATCAGCCCCTATCCTCCAGTTGGCAACGTCCCACTGTCGCTGAGGCGCGCACGCATACAAACACGCACACCGATAAACAAACAAACATAGTGGAATTTACAAAGAAGGAAAGGGTTCGTTCGTGCCTTACGTATCAGTTTACCTTTGTTTCACTGCTGTTGCTGCATTAAATCAATAATCGTTCAATAGGTGCAGTTTTTGTTTGAACACAGCGATTCCATTACTCAGCACGCTAGCCCCTTGCTTGCATCTATTAGAACTTTCCACAACGCTCGGGTCAAGATGTAGCCTTTGTACATTCGGCAACTCCCAAATCCCTTCCACCGTCTCACGATATCTAAGAATCTTCCGCATATGATCCTCTGATTCAACGCTATCATTATGTGAATGGGAGCTCAGTGCGTTATCTACTCCTAACTGGCCTTTTCTTTTGCGCCAGCGATATTTTTAGGGTACACTTCCCTCCCGCTCAAGCTACGCACGTTAGTCGCTGTCACAGATGACGACGGTTGCGCAAGAACAATAAACTAAGAAAGGGAAACGTTACTGGAAAGTGCTATAAAAATGCTTGAAAATGGCACCGAGCGCCCATCTTTTCAACATTCCTGTATACCTCTAAAAGACAGACGGGCTATTCTGTGCCATAGGGACTGGCTACTGTCAATGCCAGCAATCTGGCTGGCCACTAACTCGAACGAGAGTATAGAGATGATGTATGGCGACATCGGTACGAATATTGCCCTGATCTCCAGAAGTGTTTGGGATTCAGCTGACCAAGCGCTAAGCCCATGTTACACTGAATGGTTAGCACTTGTTGGACAGCAGTTTGGACTGGGCCTGTAACCTCCTCCTCTCATGCTTATACAGGGGGGGGGCAAAAAAAGTCATTTTGCCTCCATGACTTTCAAGGCGCTATAAGT